GAGTTTATTTGTTGTCCAAAACACAAGCTAAAAAGGTAAGTTTAGAGTTTATCTGTGATCCAAACCACAAGCTAAACAAGGCAAATTTATAGTTTAAAAATATCCTTTTGGAAGCCTCCAAGATTTGGACAAAAAATGTTACAAATGAAGCTTTTTTAGTAAAGGTCCACATAAAGAATTTTCAAGCCTTCAAAATCTGCTTTTGGAAGCCTCCAAAGGGCTCCCTCCCCCCTTGATTTGGACAAAAAATGTTACAAATGAAGCTTTTTTAGTAAAGGTCCACATAAAGAATTTTCAAGCCTTCAAAATCTGCTTTTAGAAGCCAAAGGGTTCCCCCCTTGATTTGGACACAAAATGTTACAAATGAAGCTTTTGTTAAGGCCCACATAAAGGATTTTCAAGGCTTCAAAATCTGCTTTTGGAAGCAAAAGGAAAAGGAAAATGCAAGTTTAGAGTTTCTATTTACTGCAAACCACAAGCTAAAAAGGTAAATTTAGAGTTTGTCTGTGATCCAAAACACAAGCTAAATAGTGCACAAAAAGCAAGTTTAGAGTTTCCACTGGCTGCAAAACACAAGCTAAAAAAGCAAGTTTAGAGTTTATCTGTGATCCAAAACACAAGCAAAACACAAGCTAAACAAGACAAGTTTAGAGTTTATGGGCCCGATCCAAGACACATAAGACCCAAAATGTGTTTAGGATTTAAATACATATAGAAACTACTTGTTTAGGGTTTCCATTGGGAAACGACGCGCCTCGACCCAAAGGGTCGCGGGGCGGCGCGTTGTAGCTGGACGCTATAACCCACCCCAAGACCACCCAAACCTGTAATCTATTAGGGTTTAGGGGTTTTTATGAAAACCCTGGGCCGGGCGGGCAGAGCTGCGCTCATTTTTCAAGTTGGGTTTGGATGTGGGTTTTTGGTTGGGGTATTTTGGCGGTCGCCAACTACAGCAAGGACCAAAGGATGAAAGCAGGGAGGCACCAAGAGGTCACTTGGATTGCCCGGGAGGCACCAGAGAGCCATTCAGCAAGTGAAGATTTCACAGACCCTTCCGGGTTGGACAGCTCCGGAGGCTCCAGGGCAACCAGGACTCACTGAAAGAGGTCATTTGGATAGCCTGGGAGGCTCCAAACAGGCACTCAGCAAGTTAAGACTTCACGGACCTTCTAGGCTGGACAGCCGGTCGTGGGGCCCACCCCAGGATTTGCCGCGAACCGGGCCGATCGGCATCGTCCCGCAGGGAGGACGAGGGACATTTGGACAGCTTGTGGACAGCCTGGGAGGCACCAGGGAGGCAAGAAAGGACAATTTGGACAGCCTGCGAGGCACCAGGGAAGCACCAGGGACGCAGGAAAGGACCATTTGGACAGCCTGGGAGGCACAAGGGATGCATTACAGGTGTTAAAGGCAATCCTGACCAGGAAGGCAGGTCCTGGGAGGCACCAGGGAGGCACCAGGGAGGCAGGATAGGATTAATTGGACAGCCTTCAGAGGCACCAGGGAGGCAGGAAAGGACCTATTGGACAGCCTGGGAGGCACCAGGGAGGCACCAGGGAGGCAGGATAGGACTAATTGGACAACCTGCGAGGCAACAGGGAACCACTAGGGAGGCAGGAAAGCACCCTGGGAGGCACCAGGGAGGCAGAAAAGGACTAATTGGACAGCTTGGGAGGCATCAGGGAGGCACCAGGGAGGCAGGAAAGGACCAATTGGACAACCTGGGAGACACCAGGGAAGCACTAGGGAGGCAGGAAAGGACCATTTGGACAACCTGGGAGGCACCAGGGAGGCTCCAGACGGCTTCCCAAGCAAACCTGGAAGCCAAAAACCTTACCACCTGGTTACGGTCCAAACCCTCGGGTTTTAGGGGAATAAAATATAAGACATTTATATTATTTTAGCGCAGTCTGCGCATGCACCCTTTATGTAAGGATACCAATGCGGGACGGAGCACAAAGCTAACTCTTTGTGCTCACCTTGTCAGGCTCCTACATCTCAATTCTTTTCGATGTCCGGCACTCAGCGTGCGGGTAGCGCTCGCGATGTTCCGGGCTCCTAAGCGTCGCGGACAACATCGCTCGCTTTAGTTTAGGGTTTAGGGTTTAGGGGTTTAGGGTTTAGGGTTTAGTAGGGTTTAGGGTTTAGGATTTAGGGTTTAGGGTCCACGGCTATCCAGCTATGGTTCACTATTTGTAAGTTTGCTTTACTTTTTGCTTTAATTTCCCCCCACCCCGCTCCCATTGTTTTATGAGCGCAACCATTTAAGATCAATTATTAGCAGGTTGTTTTGTTATCTTTCCTTGTGTTCTTTCTTCTTGTTGCTCTTTCTTTGGCGCCCTTTGCGCGAGGAGGGATTCTTCTTTAGGTGATTGGTTTGCTTCTGGGGGGGGGGGGCAGCCCCCCCCCACCCCCCCCGCTTTTCAATTGAAATGTTAAAACTTCAAAAAATATTTGTCTGGAAGCTTCCAAAGGGCTCTTCCCTTGATTTGTGCAAAAAATGTTACAAATGAAAAGAATTTTCAAGGCACCAAAAACTTCTTTTGGAAGCTTCCAAAGGGCTCCCCCCTTGATTTGGACAAAAAATGTTACAAATGAAGCTTTGTTAGTAAAGGTCCACATAAAGAATTTTCAAGGCTTCAAAATCTGCTTTTGGAAGCCTCCAAAGGGCCCCCCTTGATTTGAACAAAAAATGTTACAAATGAAGCTTTTTTAGTAAAGGTCCACATAAAGAATTTTCAAGCCTTCAAAATCTGCTTTTGGAAGCCTCCAAAGGGCTCCCCCCTTGATTTGGGCAAAAAATGCTACAAATTAAGCTTTTTTAGTAAAGGTCCACATAAAGAATTTTCAAGGCTTCAAAAGCTGCTTCTGGAAGCCTCCAGAAGACTCCCCCCTTGATTTGAACAAAAAATGTTACAAATGACGCTTTTTTAGTAAAGGTCCACATAAGGTATTTTCAAGGCTTCAAAATCTGCTTTTGGAAGCCTCCAAAGGGCTCCCTCCCCCCTTGATTTGAACAAAAAATGTCACAAATGAAGCTTTTTTAGTAAAGGTCCACATAAAGAATTTTCAAACCTTCAAAATATGCTTTTGGAAGCCTCCAAAGGGCACCCCCCTTGATTTGGACAAAAAATGTTACAAATGAAGCTTTTTTAGTAAATGTCCACATAAAGAATTTTCAAGGCCTCAAAATCTGCTTTTGGGAGCCTCCAAAAGGAAAAGGAAACAGAAAATCAAACTAAAAGGAAAAGCAAGAGGAAAATGCATGTTTAGAGTTTCTATTGGCTGCAAAACACAAGCTAAAAAGGCAATTTTAGAGTCTATTTGTTGTCCAAAACACAAGCTAAAAAAGTAAGTTTAGAGTTTATCTGTGATCCAAACCACAAGCTAAACAAGGCAAATTTATAGTTTAAAAATATCCTTTTGGAAGCCTCCAAAAGGGCTCCCCCTTGATTTGGACAAAAAATGTTACAAATGAAGCTTTTTTAGTAAAGGTCCACATAAAGAATTTTCAAGCCTTCCAAATCTGCTTTTGGAAAAATCTGCTTTTGGAAGCCTCCAAAAGGAAAAGGAAAAGGAAAATGCAAGTTTAGAATTTCTATTTACTGCAAACCACAAGCTAAAAAGGTAAGTTTAGAGTTTGTCTGTGATCCAAAACACAAGCTAAATAGTGCACAAAAAGCAAGTTTAGAGTTTCCACTGGCTGCAAAACACAAGCTAAAAAGGCAAATTTAGAGTTTATCTGTGATCCAAAACACAAGCAAAACACAAGCTAAACAAGACAAGTTTAGAGTTTATGGGCCCGATCCAAGACACATAAGACCCAAAATGTGTTTAGGATTTAAATACATATAGAAACTACTTGTTTAGGGTTTAGGGTTAGGGTTTAGGGTTTAGGGTTTAGGGCGTCTCGGCCGCGTGGCAGCTGAGGATCAAATGCGAAGATGGCACCACCCCCTTTTCTTTAAAAATAGAGGGGGTAGTGGCATCTGAGCGGTTACCGGTTTATCGTTGTCGGTTGTTTTTTACCCCACAAGACTTGTGGTGGTAACTTATTTTTCCCTCCCGCCGCCAGGTGTGGCAGGCTACCACCCAATTTTCCACCTTTTAGGGTTTAGGGCTCCGCCCTAAATTCCCATCCCTTCCCGAGGCGCGTCGACATTGCAAGTCTGTCAACTTTCCGTCTTGGAAAATGGCGTTGCCCAACCCCCAAACGACACTTACTTGCAGAGAAGTTGCTCTAGGGCGCCTCGAAGAAGTGCGCGCGGTTGCGGAGCCAGGCATCGAGGCGCGGCGACACGGTCTTCGAGCTCAACCACATAGACCAGCACCTGATCCATGTCACGGAGCACCAGGCCCAAATCGTGTTGGAGCGACCCAACGACGGCGGGGGCAAAGGCTGCCTCCACCTGTTGGAAGCGCAGTTGCGCCAAGCGCACGGCCGTGACGGCGGCCTCGATGTCGCCGCGGACAGCGCCGACAAAGGCCGCGCGCGCCACCACGTAGCGTAGCTCAGCCCCTGGGTCCATGTTGGCGCCGCGCGACGAGGAATGGGGGGCGCGGCACGCTTTGAGAAAGCTGGCTGCAGCGCGAGACAATGCATTCACTCACGGGGTGTCCGGCGTCTACGCGTGAATCCAGCAAGAGAACAAAAAGCCTGCGACACCACGTGCACAACACATGTGAATAGCCGGAACCAAACCTTTTCGACGTCACCTTCTTCTCGGGCGCTCGACGGACAGCCGCAACGCGTCCCCATCCATTTTCCGCGGCAGCCACGGACGGTTGAACCTAAAAACTGCCGCCAGTTTCTATGGATAAGTCTTTGCGGTAGCTTTCGTAGCAAGACGACAAGAAAAGAAACAATTGCATTGCCTTATGCGCGTGTGAAATAGCAGGATGGACCGTTCCGGCGTAGACTTGGACAGACAACATAGCTCGAAGGTCTTGCTACTGAGGATGCTGCGCGCGTTTCAAAGGGCGCCTTGAATCAATGAAACCTGGCCGGCGTGAAATGGTGCATGCCGGGATTGCCGACGTAGCGCCAGTTCGCATCATACTCGACGCGGCTGAGCGCCACATACGCAGCAGCAGGCATATTGGCAACATCCAACCACAGCGTTACGTGTGGTAGAGTCGCCCCTTGCACTTTGTGCAGGGTGGACGAATAGCCCAAGCGCAGCGGAAAATGCACGACCCGGTTTTCCGAGGTCCAGGGATGCACTGCCAGCAAGACTCCTTGATCGGTCCGTGCCATGACGTTCCCCTGCTGCATGCCCACGACGGTCGCGCCCATCCCGTTGACGAACCCGATGGCCTTGTTGAGGTTCTTGGTCAGGATGATCCGTGCGTTCGGGTAGATGGGCACTTCCAGCGGCTGCTCAGAGACCATTCGACCCCCAACGTAGTTCTCCACGTTGCTTTCGGGGTCCGCTGGCACAACGGCCAGGGGCACGGCGCCCGGAAAGAGAGCTTGCACGGCCAGGTCATTCAAGTAGGCCGTGGCCTGGCGGCTGATGGTCAAGAAGAGGGCGTGGGGCGTCTCCGCCAAGATGTGCGCCACGTCTTCTGCCGAAGGGATTTCGTTCATCACATAGCCGGCCCGCTGTCGCGTGGGCGCTTTGTGCCCGCTCTTGATGGAACGCAATTGTGGCACGGACGGCTTGCCGACCCGTAGCAATTCTAATTTCTTTTTCAGTTCCGGGCACTTGCAGCGCAACATAGTGTGCAGCTCCCGTTTCTTCACCATGACGTTGTGCCACAGCGGGGAATCCAGGGCACTCGTTGGATCCACACCAGGAAGCTGGTAGAAGTCACCGACAAAGACGAGCGTAGGAATTCGGTCTTCCGCCTCCCACTGCTGGATGATGCGCTCAAAGATGTTGCGGCTCAATTGTCCCACCTGGCAAATCAGTATAGGAAAGAGAAACGAAAACTAACGTCAGCGCGCGGCGGCGACTTGGCGGCGACTCGGCGCCAAGTCCGTCAACGCGTCCCGCCCCGGCCTCTTCCACCACGATCAGATCGTAGGGCAGCAGCACCTCCAAGGCCTGGTGGACGGGCTTGTAGATGAGGAAGGCGCCGTGGACCGTGTCGACCTCGAGCTCCGGGAACTTTTCTCGCAAGGTGGCCGCCAGGCGCCCGGTGGGTGCGGCCACCAACACCCGCGCGCCCTGCGCAGCGGCCATCTGAATGGCTTGGCTCACTGCCGTCGACTTGCCGCTCCCGGCTGGGCCCAAGACGGCAAAGGCGGGACGCCAAGCGGCCGCGGCCGGCAACGGGCTCGCTTCGGGCTCCTGTCCCCAGTGCGGGTTGTTGCCTTCCACGTCCGCAGCGTCATCCACGGCTGCCAGGGCATTCCAGGCGGCTTCTTGGGCGAGCTTCTGTTGCATGCCTTGGTGCATGCTCTCCACGATCTCCTCATAGATATGTTCCTGCTGTCGGGATAGGTCCATGTCCAAACCACCTGGGCGTCGCGGTCCGGCGGGCACCGGAGCCATGGCATCGTTGCGCCGGTCCAATGTCCCGTCGAAGTATTGGCGGATCAGCACCTGGTTGGCAAACAACATGGCAACGATGTTGCGGATGTGGTGCTCTCGGAAAGCTTCTAACTCGAGCTCCGCGCGGATTGCGGCTTCCGACGTCCAGTGGTCGGGCCGATGAAGCAGCGCCACTGCCTGGTAGTACAAGTGGTCAGGCACAAGGTCCAGTTCCGGCCGACGCAACTCCTCAAGGTCGCGAAACGGCACGTGCATAAGCACCCACTGCCCGTAGTACCTATCATTGTAGCGTGAGAGGTAGATGGAAGCTACCGCGACCTGACCCGCCGTGGCGGCATTGTTGGCCCAGGCCTCCAGCGTTTCTTCCAGGTGCTCCGCCCCAGCTGCCTCCTCCGCCGCGTGCTGCTTCTTCAGGTACTCGTGGATGTTGCCCTTGCCGTTGGTCTTGCGGAGGAACTCCACCAACGGCATGTCCGGTGCCCGCCATGCGCTCTGCATGTATTGCTGGACGCGCTCCGGGCACGGCCCACACCACGGCACGGGGACCCGAAAACGCTGCAGCGTGGAACCGGCCAGGCACTGTGGGTACCACTGCATGGCCAGCTGCAGGGTCATCTCCGGCTCCAAGGGATGGTAGTCTGTCAAAACCCGTTTCGCCACGGCGTAATCCGAGCAGGCATCTTGAAGCCAATCAGCAGCAAAGGAGTCACTGAACTTTGGCGCATACCCTGACACGTACTTGAGCAACATCCCCCGACCGTCCGAGGCCTGGACGTCCGTGTGGCAGTGCAATCCCGCCAAGAGGTCCGTCACATAGGCCCGGATGCCCTCCGCTTGCCCGGCCGCGTTGTAGCGGTAGAAGTCCTCCGGCTTGTGCTGCAAGCGAAGCACTTGAGCGTCAGGGTCCCAGTGCGACTCCTCCGCTTGCACGGGCCACCCGCTGCCGGTCCAAGATCGCTGCGATCCCTCCACCAAGTTTGCCAGGGGAGCATCGTCGCCGGGCACCGTTGCGGCGATGTGCTTCTCCAACTCGATGGCCGGCACGCGCTGCAGCCAGACGAGCAAGTGCAAATGCACCGTGCCACGTCCATGATAGTACTGACTAGCGGCTTCCTGCTGGTTCACGTAGCGGCGGCGCTTGCCATCTTGGTACTCCAGCCGGCCGAAATAGTTCAGCACGGTCTGACGACCGGAGCCATCTTTCGCAGCGAGAACATGGCTCGTCCACCCACGGCGGCGGGCCTTGCTGCCAGAGGCATTGTTCGAGCCCGTCAAGAAGCCGACCACGGTCTGGGCCAACACGTGGGCGATGTGGAGGGTCTCAGCGACCGGCAGGCGAAGCCGTGAGCGACAAAGCTTCTGCGCCTCGTCCTCGACCCATTTGTGGAAGGGGAAGCTCCATTCATAAGGAGCCACGGTCAAAAACAAGGTGGGCAGACCCAGCTGCTTCACCACGTCCACCAAAGCGGCATGCCGCGTGTGCCAGTACTCCGGAGAGAAACTGTAGCCCGACATTGCCAGGCGCAAGGGAGACTGCACGGTGTTGCGCTTGGCTCCGAGTGAAGACCAGAGCCAGAGATCATATACGAACTGGAAGAGCTCGAATGCGCTGCCGTACCCCAGGACCGGGCCGACCACCTTCGCCAAATAGGCGCTCTTAGCAGAATTGCGGCCAGGCTTGGCAAAGGCCCGCTGCAGCCGCGGGCTTTCCTGGGGGTCTTCCACGAGCTCGTCGGCATTTGGCCGTAGTGCCTCCTCCGCACCTTCGCTGCTCTCGCTGTCCGCCGCTGGCTCATGCGGCCGCGCCCCTTCACGGCGAGCTCGTCGACGAATGTCTGCCTGCCGGATGTGCGTCTCACACATCTCGGTGTACGGGTAGAGGTGCGGCCAAACAGCACACTCGAGGCCAACTTCTTCCAGAGCCCGGCGAGGAAGTTGGAGCGCCCGATCGTAGGGGTCGCCCGTCAACTTGTCCCGGTTCTGCCGCAAGTAGCGCTTGTGCATGTGGACGAAGCGCCCGTAGGAGCTAGCAACATTGCCCACCAAGAAGTGATAGGCTTCCTTGGCCCGCGCTGTGTGCCCGGCATCCTCCAGCCAGTGGCCGGCTCTGAGATGGGCGGGTCCACAGCCACGCGAGCTTCCAAGAGCTTACCCCAAGATTGCGCAGCTTCGGCCGCAGCCTTTCGGGCGGCCATTGCAGCCTGAGTCCGTGGCGCCCGGTGAAGCGCGGCCTCCAGCAATGCCCGGGCCTCGGGTTC